AACCCACCAGTTCATATGCCATCTCCGCATGGTTATATTCCAAGACCGCCAGGTTACATTTCGAGCCCGCAGTGTTACATTCCTAGCCCACAGGGTTTTATACCATATGGAGGTGCATATACGACTATGTTTAATGATCCAACATATGGTTCATATGTATCTTATTTGGCTGGTGGTGCTTCTCCATAGACACCTCAATCTCCATCTGGATCACAGACATCGATGCTAATGTTTCCACAGTTTTCACAGTTCCCGGGGAGCGGTGGGATTGTTACTAGCACTCCTCCAGGGTCGTTATTTTATACAGGCCCTTCAGCCCCTTCAGCATCATCTACACCAAATGAAGAAAATGATGTTGATGATGATAGTGAAGATGAGGAGACTGAAGAACAAGTTCCACGAAGAAATCCATGAAATAGACAACCACCGCCATGTGAAACTCATTCGAGAAGACGACATCGATGATCCAGTTGTATTTTAATGTTATTTAAATAGTTATATTTCAGAATTTTATGTAATTTGGTTATGTTATTTAAATGTTTCATGGTTGTTACATACATATTTTTAATGTTATTTTTTATTCACATTTAACATTAAATGTTTGATAAATGTTTTTAAAATACAAATTATATTATTCGAAATTTAAAATAAAAATAAAAATAATATTATTCGAAATTTAAATTTAAAATATAAATTATAGTATTCGAAATTTAACATTAAATTTCAACTTAATATTTCAATTGTATTCGAAATTAAAAGTTATATTCCAATTATAGTTCACACTACTTAAATTGAAATTAAATTTATTCATACATATGATTTTATTATTAACATATATATTAAAACGTATACATTAAAATCAACTTATCACTTCACATTTATTCGTAAAAACATCTCGATGCTCATTCCATATAATTTCAATGTCACAATCAACTTATCACTTCACATTTATTCAATTTATCCATAACATTTTATCTAATTTATTCAAACTTCACATAACGTTTTAATTTAAGTTATGAACTTAAATTAATCTATATATATAATTTTATTCTTAACTTGCTGAACTTTCAAAAGAAGTTAAATTTTGGTTATAATTTACCTGATTTCACAATCCATCTAGTGTCCCCGAGGGACATAAGTGACATAATAGGGCAATGATAATATATTCTATGACAAAATAATGGAAGGCGCGCCCTCGGGAACGCGCCTTCAAGTCCCCTGAGAAATAATAGGTACTGATATGAATAGTGTCCCCGAGGGACATGAGTGACATAATAGGGCAATGATAACATATTCTCTGACAAAATAATGGAAGGCGCGCCCCCGGGAACACGCCTTCAAGTCCCCTGAGAAATAATAGGTACTGATATGAATAGTGTCCCCGAGGGACATGAGTGACATAATAGGACAATGATAACATATTCTCTGACAAAATAATGGAAGGCGCGCCCCCGGGAACGCGCCTTCATATGAATAGTACCCCCGATTATAGACACTATTATATGCAACGTATTATAAACTTTCAAAACAAACTTAAGTTCACAAGCTTTCAAATTCTAAAATTCCCAAACTCTAAATTCTCAAATTCTCTGAAAATGAGTCGTCTTTCTGCTGTTGTTTTGTATGATGTAGAAATTAAGGAAGCTGAAGAGGGGGTTGTTTTGTATGATGATATTTCTATGATGGTTGATGCTCATATGGGGAGTTCACAATCTCTTGTTGAAATGTATGCCACTTTTATTGAGGTTCGTGCTTCTCGTGGTCTCTCATATTCCTCTCACTTTGGCATTGCATATCAAGCTGATCAAGTTGATAGCCCGACACAACTGATCTGTAATGATTTCACATCATTAATGGCGGATCCAACACCAGATGCCATGCCATCAAGTTCAATAGGAAGGCATTCATCTGCAACTGCTTATGATCTTAACCCACGTGGCTTCACCAATAATCCATATGGCAACATCTCTTCTACTTCAAGGGGCAGACGTTCATCTGCCAATATTTTCGACTTACATCTGGAAATGCCAACGAGAATTTCTTGCACACATGTATGAGGCTGATTATGATGCAATGTATGAGCCTGAATTTCCAGATCTTCCTGATGTTGGCAACTATGGACTTCAATCATCAGTCAATGACGGTAATTTACATATTGGAATGGAGTTCGCATCGAAGGAGGAAGCAATGATGGCAATAAAGAGTTACAATATTCGTAACTCAGTTCAGTCCCAAGTTGATCGATCTAACACGGAGAAATATGTCTGCTACTGCGTCCAACGTGACAACGGATGTCAATGGATGGTCCGTGTATCAAAGAGGAAGAGGAATAACAACTTATGGGAACTAACCAGATACAACGGTCTTCATACATGTTGTGCAAGAGGTATAAACAAGGATCATCCCAACTTGGACTCCAACTTTATTTGCCAAGCAATCATGCCCATTGTGAAGCAAAGCTCTCATATAGCTGTTGCAGTGTTGATTTCTGTTATACAGTCACAATATGGGTACACTATCTCATATAAAAAAACGTGGTTGGCAAAACAGAATGCCATTTGCAAACTTCATGGCGAATAGGATCCCTCTTACAACGAGCTGCCCAGTTGGTTTCATGTTGTGCAAATACTCAATCCCGGGACAATTGTTGAGTTCGAAACTCAACAACATTACGTGAATGATCGAATGGTTCGCGATCGCTGCCAATTTTATCGTGTCTTTTGGACTTACCCTCAGTGTATTAATGCAGTCAAGTACTATAAACCAGTTGTCCAAATTGATGGTACTTTCTTGTATGGGAAATAAAAGCAAGTTTTATTATTGGTTGTGGTCCAAGATGGAAACAACAATATTCTTCCTGTTGCGGTTGCCCTCGTTCAAGGAGAAGACACTGAGTCTTGGGCTTTTTTCCTTAAAAATTTATGTTTACATGTTGTCACCAGGGAACGAGTATGCATTATTTCAGGCCGATGAGCTGGGATAAAGCAGCAATGGACTCTTTGGGTACAATGTATAGACCTCCATATGTTCAACATCGTTATTGTGTCCGTCATATTACTGTAAACTATTACGGAAAATACAAGAAGAACGATGAACGTCAGTTAGTCGTGCGGATGGGTATGTTACTTTTTCTCAATTTTTTTTATCAATTTCTTATTATTTATTTATACTTCATATTAACTATTACATATTCCTAATGGCTTAGGTTACGAACTCTTACCTCAAAGGTTTGAGTCGATGCTACAAGAGTTGTTTGGCAAAAATAAGAAGGGGTGCGAGTACATTATGGACATCAGCAAAGAACTGTGGACAAATACGTATGACGGGGGGTATCGCTATGGTCATATGACAACAAACTAGGCTGAAGCAATAAATTCAACCTTAAAGGGGGCGCGTCATTTACCAGTCACAGCGTTGGTTAAAACGACTTATTTTCGTTTGGGTCAACTCTTTGCAAAGCTCGGTGGACAAGCTCTTACTTGGATGCAAAACGGCCATATTTACCACCCAAGACTAGTAGCTGATTTACAGAAAAAAGTGGCTGCATCAAATGAGATGTTAGTTACAAATTTTTCTCGCACCCGTGAATTATTTCGTGTAACCGAAATGCCACGTCCGCTGCAAGGGATTGAAGCTAACTCTTTCAGAGTTAATATGCAAGAGAGGTGGTGCGATTGTGGTTTCTTTCAAGCACTTAAATATCCATGCTCTCATGTCATTGCAGCTTGCTCACATTCGCATTTGGACTACAAAAATTATGTTGATCCCGTATACCAACTTTCACAAGTATTCAAGGTATATGAATTTGAGTTTCCGCCCATAGGAAACGAAAGAGACCCAAATGAGATTCAAACTTTGCTTACAATTGTACCAGATCCATTGCTATTGAGGGACTCAGGTCGTCCAAAATCTACTAGAATACATTGTGATATGGATTTCGGGAGAAGTCAACAGAACAAAAATGATGTGGGCATTGTAGAAACATCGGTCACAATAGAAAAAAAATGTCCAGCTCTGTTATCATCATATAACCGTTAACTCTTATGTAATTAATATTGTATTTAAATGAAAGTTTTTGTTTCTAATAATTTAATGTTATTGCATTTTATATAATTTGTCAAGTACACCTAAATAATTTTTTTAACTTTTAAATACATAAATATTTTCAATATATTTATTTAATATAATAATTAATATTATTAGTTATATTTTTTTAAAATATAATAATAATTCCACCTTCTAAGTAGAGAAAAATATTAAATTAAACAAATTAAAAGTTATTAAAAAATTTATGTATACGATGACACATTTCATGTTCTGATTGGAGGATTAAATTTATTAAATTAAATTTTCAATAAAACTAAATTCATAAAATATGTAAGTCTTGAAGATTAAATATGTAATTATACTAATTTATTAACTTATGCATCAATATTTTCGTTAAATATTAATAAGAGATGACTAGATTGATAACATTTAAATAATTAATTGATAAAATTAATAGATCGATAATCAAAATAAAAAATAATAATATAATCATATGTGTAATATTATAATTTCATACATTTTTCCTATAACTACAATAAAATCAAAACTGATTTTCATATATTGTTCTATTACATTAATGTATATAATTCACTACACCTTTAACACACATTAACAAAATATATTTAATAATTCTTACATTATAATCGAAACACTTTACATAATATATTACTAATTTATAATAAAAATAAAAATAAAATATTTATTATTAAATAAAATATCAGTGTGGCAGCTGAGTCATCAGAATCTTGTGAAGGCGCGTCCCCGAAATACGTCTTCCATACGTGACATCCAACTCAACAAAAACTCGAATAAAACACGTTTCCGAAACTGTATTTTTCGTCAACTCAACCGAAAAGGTACCACTTCAAAAAATATATATTAAACTGTGCTAAAAAAAATATTCAATTAAACAGTATCGGTCAACCTTAATCTCCTCCTCCTACTACTTACTGTTCAACCTCATTCTGGTATTCATTTCTGCTTCTTGTCTCATTATCATTTACTCTCTGTCACTTCATGTGTCAAAAGGCACTGTCCCTATCACTATCACTGTGATGGGCTGCTTTCAGTCCAAAATCACCCTTCTTCCTCCCCCTCATCAGCCTCCTCCTCTTCCTCTTGAATCCCACAACAACCCAGATCCAGGTCCTTTCATTCTCCTAATGCTCATGCCCATAACCTTCTTCTTCGTTTACTTGATTCTGGGTTTGGTTATTTTTTTGTTTTTCAGATGGGAATGGGGAGCAACCGGCGGTTCCGGAATTCAAGGAGTTCGACCTGGCGGAGCTGCGGGCGGCTACCAACGGCTTCAGCAGTGACCTGATAGTGTCGGAGCGCGGGGACAAGGCTCCCAATGTGGTGTACCAAGGGAAGCTGAAGAGCAACCGTGTGGTGGCGATAAAGCGGTTCTCGGGGCTGTCGTGGCCTGACCCTCTTCAGTTTGTTAACGAAGCTGCTGGGGTCGGTAAAGTCCGGCACAAGAGATTGGTTAATTTGATCGGATGTTGCGCCGAGGGGGACGAGCGGTTGTTGGTTGCGGAATATATGCCTAATGATACTCTCTCTAAGCATCTCTTCCACTGTATGCATTTTTTTCTTTTTGCTCTTTACTCATAAACAGGGATTTAAATTGTGGTTGCATTGGTATTTTCGGCGATTCTAGTGATTTCGGACATGACGGAAGCTATTGTATGATTGCGGGCATCGCAGCCATACAATAACGATTTCCGAAGCCACCACTATTACAGTAACGGATCACTTTAAATCTCTTCCCATGATATTAAGTTGCTGTTTGTGGCTGCAGTGTCACTGTTGCGGATGATTTCGCTGTAACCTTGAAAATCGTTACGATTTGATAGAAACACTGCATTGCGGCCGCACCCCAATTTAATACTATGCATTTACCTCCTTACTACTACTAAAGAGAAAAAAACAAAAAAACCCTCTTTTACTCCCAGTGTTTGTGTATATATTGATGAAAATAATACGAAAACTGCAGGGGAAAAACAACCTTTGCCATGGGAAATGCGCCTTAGAGTTGCTTACCATGTTGCACAAGCCCTTGATCACTGCAATGCTGAGTACCTTAAAATTTATCATGATTTAAATGCTTATCGAGTTCTTTTCGATGAGGTTCGCATTACTCTTTCCTTTTTTACCATGTTATTTTTCTTGCTTGTGCTTCCTCTGCTTAGTAAGTGGAAGAAATTAAATGCCAGTTGACACCTTGCTTGGTATTACTACAATAGTTCGGGTTGGAATTGGTTTCACAACATTCTCTGTGGTTTAACATTTGATTTTGCCCTCGTACTTTCATACATGATATTTAGGTGAAGTTTTTAGTTACATTTTAGAGTTCAAACCCAGTCTGGTATGAGAGTCCTTTAAATAGTTGATTTCACAGTGGCCAACTTGGCTTTTTTCATTTGTCTGATTTCGGAATTGATTGTTTCAGCCAGATGTAATAAACTGCAGCACTGGCAAAATAGAAAATAGGGTCCATCTGCATAGGTATCATATTACCATGCTCCATAACTAAAATTATTGATTGATATATGCTTTATGTTTATAACTTGTCTCTGTAGGCCGATTACTAGCCAGCATTGACATTGGAGCATTTTGTTTATGTTGTGCTTCTAATTTCATTCTATTTTAGGATGGTGATCCTCGATTATCTAGTTTTGGACTGATGAAAAATAGCCGAGATGGAAAAAGCTATAGTACTAATTTGGCTTATACCCCTCCTGAATTTTTGAGGACTGGTAAATTCTTCCGACATACTATATCACTTCTAAAAGGAAAGGTACTGATTTCTGAATGAATATCCCTTCACTGCTAACTTGTTTGATTTTTGACTCCGCAGGCAGGGTCGTTCCTGAGAGTGTGATTTACAGTTATGGAACTGTTCTCCTGGATATCTTAAGTGGAAAGCATATCCCTCCCAGCCATGTGTGAGTCATTCGGTTATCCAAATTCACTTTTGCTCTTTCTATTTCCCTGCTTATACTGCCTTGGAAGTTCTTATTGATGAAAACTTGCATTTTTTGGTAGAATGTAAATGAATCCTTTGTTTCTTGGCAATTGTATCTTTGCTAATTGAATTTGTGATTGAAATTTAATAATGATTTCATACTATGCAAGAAGCTCCTGGAATTGAGGTTTTCGGTTTTGTTTTGTATATTTAGGAGCTTATTGGATTAATTAAGTGTTTAAGGACTCCTGCCTGTTTCAGAAGCAATTTTTCTTGTTGGGAGGCAAGAAAGTCACTATCTGAAAAACGTTAGCCAAGTGCAAAGTGTCTAAAAATAGAAGCTCCAAATACCTACTATACTATTCTATCTCGAATAGTCCTATAGGTTATGTTGGTTTTGTTGGTTTTGTCAGTTGTCCCATGAGATGAGTCGAGGGGGAAAATTAGAACAATTATGTTTATGTAGTTGCATGTGCACACACACAGCAGAAACATAAACCAGATTAGTCTTGCAGTCCTTCAAGGATGTGGTTACTCTTGTTTATCATTGGTCTAACCTTAGTATGGGGGATTGTGATGTTATCATTTGGGCTTCTTTTTTGGTTAATGGTGATATTATGCTTATTTATTCATTTATTTTGGTTTTTTCTCAAGTAAATTTCTACATCTGCCGTCAATTTTGTTTATATTGGTTTTAACAATGTTATATGACTGTTGATTCTCTAGGCATTGGATTTGATAAGAGGAAAGAATTTATTCTTATTATTGGATTCTTCCCTGGAAGGACAATATGCTAAAGAAAATGCCACGGAATTGGTTGAATTGGCTTCAAAATGCCTTCAGTATGAGGCTAGAGAACGACCTGTTATCAAATTCCTCCTTTCAGCAGTGACACCTCTTCAAAAACAGAAAGATGTACAAGTTTCAAGCCATTGAACTCACTGCCATTTCAATATATAGAATGTGATGTATAGATGCATCTTAAGATCTACTAAATTAATGCATTCCCAATTTCCCATTGATTTCCATAGGTTGCATCTCATATTCTAATGGGTTTATCTAAGACGCCACCGGTGCTGCCAACTATGCTTTCCCCGCTTGGAATGGCATGTGCTAGGATGGACCTTACTGCAGTGCATGATATCTTGCTTAAAACTGGTTATAAAGATGAAGAAGGTGCAGAAAATGAGGCTGGTTTTGGCTACTATTTTTCTTTCTCAAATTTATGAAATAATAATCGACATGCATAGGTTCATGTTCTGCCTGTTGGTTTCTCTCTCATGGTCTAATTTGCCGGCACTGTGTTATTGGTGAAGCTGTCGTTTCAAGAGTGGACACAACAAGTTCAAGATATGTTGAATACAAAGAAATTTGGGGATATTGCGTTTCGAGACAAGGATTTCAAAAATGCTATTGAGTACTACTCAAAGGTACCTTTCTTCCTCTAGTTAATTTGTTTACTTGTCACAGGCTTGTGTTCTGGGATGTTATATTAAATAATATGTTGGCTTGTGTTTTGTGTTTCAACTGTTGGTTCATTTGCCCCCTCTTCAAATACAGTTGGTATCGATGATGCCAGGTCCATCTGGTACTGTATTTGTGAGAAGAACCCTCTCGTACTTGATGATCAGCGAACCAGAACTTGCCTTGAGAGATGCCATGCAGGCTCAGGTGTGCTTGCCCGAATGGCCCACTGCCTTCTACATGCAAGCTCTTGCCCTCTCCAAGCTTGGAATGGAAACCGATGCACAAGACATGCTGAATGACGGAGCTGCGTTTGAGGCCAAGAAGCAAAACGGTTGGCATGTCTAGGCAGAGCAATGTTTTAAGCTTTCAGGCACTAGATCCTTTTGTCTCGTACCGTGTCTGCCGGAGAGAGCTTGGAAGAAATTGTAGCAGAAAGGTATAGGTGAGAGGGTCATTTTGAGTGTTATTTTATTGTTAAAATGATAGATAGTTTGAGTTAAAGAGATGTATGTATATGATGAAATAATCAGAGTAATCACTAGGCAATGACTGAATCTTTTGATTCTGGTGGTGCTGATTTTTTTGTGCAAATTTGGTTTTAGGCTTTAAGATGTTGGCTTTTCATTGGATGAAAGTTATTTATTAATATGAATACGTTTATATAAAACTTAAAATTCATATTTTAAGTTAAATTGAATTTTTTTAATAATATGGAGTGATTAAAAGATAATATTTATTTAGAATTTTCTTCAATGTACACACTCTAGAGGACTTCTTAAGAGAATAATCTTCTCTTATCATGGAGGTCATTTAAATAAATACAAAAAGTATTATTAATATTATACATGAACCGGACTTGAGCTAAGCTTACGAACACCTCTGGTGCATAATAAAGCCGTTGGGACTTCAAAGGCCCAAGTGAGGTTTTAGTTTAATTTTGGTAAAGGTTTGATCTCTAGATTGCTGCCCAAAAAGAAAAAGGAAAATAATTTAGATGCATTCGGAACAAGAAGGGTACTTGAAGGATATTCTCTATTGATCACATATTTTAGAGTCCTATGCCCTACGATCAATCATCCTTCCTCGATAAGATTTTTAACATGACTATTTAAAAGATTAACGTAATATTTCATAACTAAATTTGTCAATCTACGAGTAGTCATTATAATCTTAAGTCTGATATTACAACCAGTGATCACTGTAAAACCTTCTGATCAAGATCAAGATTAAAAGAGAAAACTTCGAGATGTTCTTATTCCTCATTTTTATCTTCGTCCTTCTCAATTTCTGCTTTAAACTAAATGGCAAAAATCGTATGTGAAATCATTTTAAACCATCGAGTATGATTTCCATCCAAATAAAAAAAAAACACACCTTTAATCGTGACAACCCAAGTGTTACCATCACCGTATACATATATATACAGATATAGTGCAGCATCACACAGCAAGGCTCGCAGCCACGTGACGACCCAACTTTCTTTCAAATAAAAAATAAAGATGAAACTACTTTTGGACACCATGCGATGTGAGTTAAGCTTCATCACCTCCTGTCTGGGGAATGGAGCAGTTACCTCTCTTGTCGCCTACTGTAATGTCTCACTTTTGGAATTCCAACACATTCCATTTTACTACTATAATGTAATGATCATACATACATCATCAATTACTTCACCATCACTCTACATACAGAATCTACAAAGCATTCATGTTTTGTTAACCAGAGTGATTGTAACCATGCTCCAAACGAGTTGAAGAGTGTTGAATGACGATGATGATGCATTTAAGCCTGGATGGCCTACTTCCACAGTGAAGCTCATCGGGAAGAAATTATTTATTGCTATTTCTTACGAAGAACACAAGCATCTCAGCTGTTTAACTGCTGCTCCTGTCAATGGTCCAAGATGGGAGAAATCGAGTTCTTAACGTAGCTTCGAAAGCTCACTTTTCTGATATATATGTTCCCAAGTTTGGAAAGCGAAGAGGTAATGAAAGCTTTGGAGAGGGAGTACACAACTCTCAACTATGGAGTTAGAGCCATGGCAATCAACGACCCGGGATTTGCTTAACCATGAAGCCCTCAAAGTGAGAATTTCTCACATCTTTCTTGCATGTTAACTGTCTTATGCTAATGATGTGCACATATACAAATGGAGTTGTCGGTTTTTCAGGTTATACCATTCCGAACAGATGGAGAAACAAAAAATGGTATTACTAATGAAATGATATACAAATACACCCGCATTTCCGATTAAATAGCTAGAAATATAATTGCACCAACTCCGCTTCCACGCATTGCGGTAAGAACCAAAAAAAAACGAAAACAAAATTGACAATGTGTACAAGCACGAATTCGACCAGATACCTCTGAACAAACTAAAAACCTACAAAGTGACATCAAAATGCATGGATAACAATATCCCACCATAACACTTTAACGTCCCCATGAAGGCTTTCTACGGATTGATGTTGCACTCGCGCAAATACATAACATCGCTATCTACATACTTTGCCCAGTAGTTATTATACTTAGGTATGGCTATCTCCAACCATGGTTTCAAGTTGCCATTATAGTGTATAACAGCAGCTTCTTCAATCTCCCTCTGGTTTACGTTCGGATTGTTGCCAAGCCCGAGTACATGCCAAGATTTGTTAAGGGAATATGTACGTTTCCAAAACGTTATGAGACCGGGAGGCAGGGTCCCCAGCTTCCACAATTGCCTGTCACGATTCTGCTTATAAAAGAAACTTCAAAATTAGAAACAAGATAATACCCCAGTATAGCACCATGTACAAAGTAAAGGATGTGTACACAATGAACCAAGATATACTAAAGTACAACTTTCAAGTTCTCTTTCAGCATTTACAACAGAACTCTATCCCAACGTATGATCAGGACCCGTTCAGATAAAAAAAAACATGTGATCAGGACCCTTTCAGATAAAAAAACGTGTGTGATCAGGACCCTTTCAAATAAAGAACGTGTATGATCAGGAGGCTTAGGGCACATAAGGGGCGTACGAACAATGCTAAACTACCCATTTTAAGAGAAAAGGATAACTACTATATGTTATACAATAGAACAGAAAGTCATTTAGAAGAGGAGGGTACCTATGTCCTATTGTATATAATATAGTATAGAAAAGTGTTATTTAGGGCATAGCGTTCATTACCCCGGTTAAAGGAATATAAAGGAAGTCTATGTCTAATATAAGAACTTCCTCCAATTCAATATCCAAGTTTCCCGAAATGACGCTTCATTTTATGTTAAACATCCTTGACATTGGGTAAGAGAATCAAAACAAACTTCGTCTAACTAACTGTAATTAGGTGATCAATAATTATGACTAATAATGTAAACTTAATCTAGATATGGAACTTTCATGCCTACTTTACTATCTGCTTAGCCAAGGTTACTTACCAGCCTCTTCCATCGATGATACACCTCTGTGATGTTTTGTCGCCTCCATTCATCCAAATCAAAAATGTTCATTCCATACGCCCATCCGCAAGCATGTGGGTCAAAATTCTTTGAGATAAGGGGATTTGAGAAGTTGAGATACCAATCAAACCGATGGAAGCTTTCTCCACAAGTTTCAACAGCACCATTGACATTTCCCTTCAAATCAAGGGACCAAAGGCCAGTAAGGTCCTTTTGGACTACTATATCATCATCTAGGAACAACACTTTATTTAGTTTTGGGAAAATATCTGGTAGATAAAACCAAAGATGGTTCAGGATGGACAAATATTTTGGGTTCCGGAACTTCAGGTTTTGATCAGAATTAGCCCGATGTGCCCTGAAATATTATTCAATCATGTAAGGAGATCCCAACTGCTTAAGAACTGGACTGTAGCTTGCGTTTAGCCATGTAAATTCTTTAATGTTCTGGACCTGAATAGTGGCTTTCCCTGGTGGATTACCTAGAAACCACATTCTCATTGCCACATAATTAAGCCTATCCGTAACGATGTGAAAAACATGATTCGAAGGGTGCTGCAAGGAATTAAGTAAATTTGATGAGCTCAACATGTCAACAAAGATCAGGGGGATCAAATCTCATTATGCACATACCATGCTGTTTTATACACACACATATACTCCAACATTTACTTCTCAAGTGTATAAATGATTAAAATGAAATAGAAATGGAAAAATTAAGATTAAAAGTGATTAACGGTCTCTAGCAACCAGCAACCAAAGTACGAGTTAAGTCACTATAGAAGAGTACATTTACCTTAGCATGGGCAACAGTAGAGTTTACAACAATTGCCGCTGCCAATATATTATCTGAGAAAAGGGCATAATGGTACAGCCGAGGGTCTTCTAATCTCTGATGATTTGGAAAGATCTGTTGAGAAGAATTCAAGCTATAATACTCAGAAGTAAGTCGCAAAGGCAGGCAATGAAGACCCTTGGGAAGAGTTTTTGCAGTTAATTGTGTCAAGAACATGGTTTGCTTTTTGTGCACTCGAAGCTGCTCTTCAGATGAGTGAAGCATAGCCCGCAGCTTCTTTACCACAGCGGCACAGTCATCTTGAACTTGCTTCGCTTTTTCTAATGATTGCTCCATTGCTTTTATCTTAACAGCAGGACTGCAAAAGAAAAAAAGGCGCAAAATTTAACAAATCAAAGTGATGTGGAAACTGTATTATACTTTAAATCCTTCTCAAAGACTTAGGTGACTGAATCTAAAGAAATAAAGGAACATGAGCAGGAATTTGAAAAATGAAAAGAATAACTAAGAGAGTTTATATACAGAGCAGCAATCCTATGCTCAGAAAGAAGAGTTACTTTTTTGGTAGATCTGTGTCCTTAGTTGCATCACCAAGAGCTCGTGTGACTTCCTTAACCCGCTGTCGAAGCTCCCTTGTAACATGTGGGTTGTTTTTTATCGATGGAAGGGAGAGATATTATTTTGCACGGATGAGCTGATCTTTGAGGCGGCACACCTGAGCATCTGCTGGTTCAGTATGTCTGTTACGCTTGTTATCTGAACGCTCTTTCTGATCAATCTTGCGAGCTGGCGGAGTAGGTTGCTGATCAAGCTTTACAGTCTAGTCATAAAGCAAACATGGTACAATAACTGTTAATTAAGCCTACAATTAGGTCTAAAATTTCCTCCTATTGTGAATCCCGGAAATGTGGCAACATCAAGAAACTG